ATCCTCCTCCTCCTTCTCCTCCTCATCATACCTTCTACTCCTCCCTTTTCCTCCTTCCCCTCCCCTTCCCCTTGCTCCTGCCGGACTCAAGACCCATTTGAGGCCGACCGGTTGGTCCCACTGGGTAGCCCCAGCGGTGTTTTGCCGGTCGCGTGCGGCTGCCGGTCGTCGTGGCGTTCGCTGGCACTGCGGGCAGTGGCGGGCCAGGTGCCAGGCAGGCGCGTCCATCGTCGCCCTCGCGAATTTGTTGTGGGTTCCGGCCCCGCTAACCAGTGTAGAACTTATCCCTATCCCTGAGGGCGGCAAGCCAAAAACCGATGACAATCTTGGGGATGGGTCCTCAGAAACCGAGGGAATCCCGAGTATCGGCATCGGGGTAAGGTGATGCCAATCAAGCGGACGATCCTAGGACAGAAGACCCTCCCTCGAGAACACGAGGCCCTCCGCCGGCCAACGCGCACAGAGAACATCCAAGGGTGCCCTCCCCAGGCTGCGCCACGAACATCCAACAAACACGAAGAACAATGGGGCACCATTCCCGAGCCGACCTCGATCTCACACTTCGGTCCGACTCTAACCCGCGGGCTGCCCTCGCCGCCCACACCACGGCTCAGCTGCTCCTGCTCTCTCCAACTCCTCCTCCTCCTCCTCCTCCTCCTCCTCCTCCTCCTCCTACTCCTCCTCCTCCTCCTCCTCCTGCCCCTCCTCCTCCTCCTACACCTCCTCCTTCTACTCCTCCTCCTCCCCAGATTCTCTAGGATGCTCCAGGATGCTCTGGCGCTGGCCTCGCTTCAGAAAGGGCACGCGTCCGAGCGAGCATGAGAAGGAGGAGGAGGAGGAGGAGGAGAAGAGGAGGAGGAGGATGAAGAGGAGAAGAAATAAGAGGAGAAGAAGGACATAGAGGAGGAGGCGGCGGTGGCGGCAGCGGAGGAGGCAACCTCTCCTTCGCCCTCGTCCTCGTCCTCAGCCTGAAGGCATCGAGTCAGTCTGCACGCCAACGCGCACACACACACACACACTGCTCACCTGGTGTAGCATGTCTGACATCAGGCGAGCTGATATTGACTGGCAACGTAGCGCCAAGATGGTCAACAGGCGGCAGAGCGAGAAAGGGTACCGCCTTAGGCACTGCTCAAACTATGTGAACGCAGCTGGAAAACATAAGGCAACAGGGTCAGACAAAAAACGGGGACCGCAAAGGGCACGACGTATTGCCGTCTGGTCGTTGAGGAGGTGGTCGAGGTGATTCTGATCCGCGTATGACAATATCCACATGGGAAAATGAACGAGGACGCACAGGTGATATGTCGCAAAGGTAGTAGGAAGTGATCTACTGAAAGTAATTAGGGCGGTAGCAGGCACTGTTCCCCTAACGGCGGGCCCAAATGGCCTCGAGCGACGAGCATAGCTAGTATCACCCATGTGCCCCAGGATCCACCATAACATACCTTAAGTATACATCGAACGAAAAAAACTAACCTCAATGGCAAGTGAGTGATACTATTGTGCTGGCGCGAGCTGGAAGTCTGCCTTTTGTCTTAAAGCGGGCTCTGAAGCAGGCTCGGTGGTTGGGCATGTGGCGCGCGTTGGGCCCCTAACGCAGCCTGGAGTCGAACATATCCCTCTAAGCAGCTGCATCGCGTCCTCCCCCTCCTCGCCCGACGACGCCGACGACGAAGACGACAACTTCGGCGACGACGACTGCCCGCCGCCTCTCCTGCGCCGCGCCCGACCGCTCGAGCAGCGCCACGGCCTGCGACTCGCTGCACTCCGTGGCGAACTCGTAGGCGAGCTGCTGATGGAGCCACATGCCTGGCGAGAAGCCACTCTTTGAGCAGGAGGCCGATCGTCCCAACATTCCTGCAGGCCGACCGCGTACTGTATTAGTCCCTAAAAAACTGATGTTCAAGTAACATGCTCTTGGAACACCAAGCCGATGTCCCAAAACAAGACGGTCTCAGCAAGCCAGATACGTCCTAAGAACATCTCGCGCAAGCAAGACATGCTTATACGAGCATTCTTCGGTGGGCCAACTGGGAAGTCAACGCTCTTGGCGTCTGACTGAGCACAAGGGGGAACAAAAACGGTACTAGCTGACCACTCGGCGGTTGATCGGGAGATGCGCTCATGCTTGTATCATTCGCGTTATCGCCCGTGACTGGCCCCGTCCACCCCCCGAAGCGCGGCATTTCCGGCCCCCTCCCCACACGGTCACGCCCATTACCGCCAGGAGGTGAAAAACTCCCTCCTGCATATCGAAATGATGGGAGCACTTGCCAGAAATGGTGCAGGAAGCACTACTGGCCCCTCCTCTGGGGCCGATCTTGCGAGGAGGAGGAGGAGGAAGACGAGGAGGAGGAGGAGGAGGAGGAGGAGGAGGAGGAGGAGGAGGAGGAGGAGGAGGAGGAGGAGGAGCGAGGAGGAGCGAGGTGGAGGCCCCTCGTCCCACCCCCCCTCCGGGCCTGGGTTTTCCAGCACCAGGACCTCCATCGGCGTGCCTCGCGCTTCGGGGGCGGAAGCGGCAGGGGCTCGGAAAAACAAGGGGGGGAGTGGGTGACGGGAGCGAGGAGGAAGAGGAGGACAGGGAAAAGATTGAGGAGGAGCAGGAGGAGGATGAGGAGGAAGAGCAGGAGGAGGAGGAGAAGAATGATGATGATGATGATGATGATGATGATGATGATGATGATGATGATGATGATGATGATGATGATGATGCTGATACTGATGATGATGATGATGATGATGATGAGGAGGAGGAGGAGGAGGAGAAGGAGGAGGAGAAGTGAAAGGAGAAGGGGGAGAACAATAATGAGGAGGGGGAGGAGGAAGAGGAGGAGAGCTGGGGGGGAGGAAGAGGAGGGGGAGGGAGGGATGGAATCAGGGAGTATGGGCAATCCAGCGATGCTGCTCCAGGCCTCATGCCTCGTGAGATCAACCACCGGCGAACATAGAACCCTCGAAATGGCGGAGGGCGAGGGGGGATGGGCCAAACCACATGTTGAAAACGGCCCGCACTCCATCCGCGAAACTGTTGCGACTTTCATACGTCAGGATCTAACACGGTAAAGAAGACTATGGCGAAAACGCCCAGTCCGCCCTATCGACATGTCTTGGGGTGCCACAGGGGGGAAATATGTATAAGGAAAAGGAATGTTGGAGGGGGGGTGGGTAGAAGGAGGAGGAGGCGAAGGAGGAGGAAGAGAAAGGGTAGGAGCAGGGGCAACAACTGGAGGCACCAGGAGGGAGGAGGGGGGAGGAATACGAGGGCTTTCGCAATATCGCTGCTCTTCTGAACCTCCTGAGACCCCTTCGGGGGAGGGGGGCGGACGATGATGATAAGGAGGAGGAGGAGGAGAAGGAAGAAAGGGGGAGAGGAGGAGGAGGAGTAGGAGGAGGAGGAGGAAGAGGAGGAGGAGGAAAAGGAAGAGGAGGAGGAGGAGGAGCAGCAGCAGCAGAAGCAGCAGCAGGTTGAGGAGGGCTGGAAGAGGAGGACGGCAAGGAGGAGGAGGAGGAGGAGGAGGAGGAGGAGGAAGAGGAGGTTGGCCGCAGGTGGAGGAGAGAGAGAGAGAGAGAGATAGAGAGAGAGAGAGAGAGCGGGGGACGATACCTTGCTGGAACAACTGTCGAATGTTTCTCGAAGGGTGTCGGGTGCGGCGGGGGAGGGGATCTCTTAGGGGGCCGCTTGGGGGCTTCTGGGGGGCCTCTTGGGCGCCGCTTGGGGCCTCTTGGGGCGGAAGGCTCGGGGTTTCGGTTCGTGTTCCCTCTCTTGGGCCCCTTTGGGGGCCGTCGTGGGGCCCTTTTGGGTCGTCTTGGGCGCCACGTGGGCAGTCTTCGGGCCCTCTTGGGCCGTTGTGGGGCTCTCTTGGGGGCCAGGGGACATGTACTTTGCGCGCCAGCTCCAGACGCCAGAGCGGACCCCTGAAGAGCAGACGTGCATCAAGCAAGGGGGGAAGAGTGCACTTGGCGGTGAGATGCTACAGGAGGCTTGAATGCTCATTCTGGGGACCTTCCTGCAGACACTCGCTCCACTCATGCGTCGAAGCTGCGTCGAACGTCCGTCGACTTGAGTCGACCCTGAGTCGAACCTGACTCGAACCTGACCCGAACTTGACTCGAACTTGAGTCGAACTTGAATCGAACTGGGGTCGAACGAGAGTCGAACAGATCCGTTAGGTGGGCCCCAGGAAGGTCTCCAAAACGAGCATCTAAGGAGGAGGAGTGGAAACTGCGAGAGAGGAGCAGGAAAAATGAGGTTGTTGTGCCGGGATCTGAGGGGTTCCATTGGCCTGGGGGACGGAGGAGAAGGGGGATTAGGAGGAGAAGGATGAGGAAGAGGAGGAGGAGGAGGCGGAGGAGGAGGAGGACGAGAAAAGTCTGAAGGGAAAATGGGGGAGAAGAGCACCAGGCGGAGCAGGAGCAGGAGCACGAAGCAGGAGCACGGAGCAAGGGGGCGACGGGTGAGGGGGCGGAGAGCTCATCACACGTCCTTTTGTTTACGACGACTGGCAGCCATTGCGCAGTTGACACTTGCGTATGTCGACCGGTGGTCAGAAAGCGCGCTCTCTGATAGCCACGGGCCGACGTGCAGAGCAGGAGCGCAGCTCTCCGTGTGGCGGCTTCTGGAACCCCTGAACCAAACCACCCTGCCATCTCTCGGGGAACAGCTTTTGAAGGGGCCCTGGGACGCACAAATAAATACGCACAAATAACAGGATTACCCACATGTCCCAAAATTTTCCGGGTTTTTGTCTGCCCCCCCACTGCCCATATTGTCCCATAGGTTCTGGGGAATCGATGATAAATTGTGTCTGTGTTTTTTCCCCTCCTGAGCTTTCTGCTTCCGCCAGCTTCCGCTGGCATTCTGCCCGCTCCCGCCAAGGAAGAGATGGCCACCCCCTCGATCCTCCAAGGGGCCGTGCGAGAGAGGCGCGAGGGTGTACCGGCGCGCCAGGACATTTAGGTCGGGCGTGTCCCCCTACAGGCGGATTTTGGACGAACAATTAAAAACACACACCAAAACTGATCAAACATTGCCAAAACAACTGCTCAAAAAATCGTCCCACGGTTTTTGTTTCACTATGTTTGGATATTCCTCCTGTAGGGGGGCAAGCCCGACTTAACAGGACAGCCGTGACCCCCCCCCTACCCACCCTTCCGGGGGAGGCGTCGCTGTGCCAGTCCTCCTCCTCCTCCGCCTCCTCCTCCTTATCTCCGCCTCCTCCTCCCCCTCCTCCTCCTTCTCCTCCTCCTCCCCCTCATGGTCGTCGTCGATGTCTTTCAGGGTCGGCGGCACCGGCCGTCAGGCCTTCACAATAGGTCTCCAGACCTAAGATCCTGGAAGGGCCCGAAAACCAGCGCCCCTGCTGAACGGGAGTCATGTCAGTGTCTTGACGGTATGGGAGCCATGGAGCGGGCAGGGCAACAAGAAAACAACACGCTGGAGTCATCAGAATGGGGGGGCCCGACGGTCACTCATTGTCCCTGGGTGCGTGGCTGCACTGGGACTCCGCGGCGCGGATTCTGTTTGTTAATGTTGCTTTGCTGTCGTCGTTCTCGCCCGCGCCCCCCCCGCGACCCACCCACGACCCACCCTGGGACCCACCCCGTGACCCGAACGCGACCCACCCGCGACCTACCAACATTGATTTGACGAAAAAATCCGTGTCTGCGGCGGGCTCGTTGGACAACTTGTAAAATTTCGGCGCCTGCGGCGGGAACCTTGCAGACTGCCGACGACCCCGCCAACCCCTCACGCGTATCCGCAATTGCGGGAGGGGTCGGGGGCGGCTAAGAGGGGGGGGGGTCCAAGAGGGGGGGGGCGCAAATCTTGGCCGGCGGCATGTGCGCGGCCCAGGAGGGGGCAGGGACGTTATGAAATTAAGAAGAAGCGCCATGAGATCTGGGAAAAGATCATGGCCCACGCCATGATATCCACCCCCCCTAGTCATCACCCCCCTCTTTGCCGCCCCCAAAGGTTACGTCGACGGAAGTTGTTCGAGGTCCGCCGGGATTTCTCGGGTCGGCGCTGGATCCGCCTCCCCGATCGCACGAAGCACGCCAGGGGCAGAGCCAGAGGCGCCGTCAAGGGGTCCAGCGCCAGCCCAGGACATCCGCCATGAGCTCCGAGCGATTATCTTATCTTTGTGCTGTTTCTCTACTGTTCGACAGGGATGGGCCGACTACGCAACATGGGTGCAGACACCTCCCGCGGCGCCCGTGCCCCCGCCCTGACATCGCTGCGGGCCTGGGAGGCAGACGGCAGGGTCACGGGCACCGTCGTGGCGAGCCTGGGGTGAGAGGGGAGGGGGGGGGGAGAAGGGGTCCAAGAAGGGCTACCGAAGGGGGGGGAGGATGGGGGAGGAGGGGGAGGGGCGAGGGAGGGGGGAGGAGGAGAAGGAGGGAGGGGGAGGGGAGGATGGGGGGGGGGGGGGGAAGGGGGGGGGGAGGAGGGGGTCCAGGAGGGGGTCCATGATGATCTAGATGAGGTGTGCGAAAAAGAAACCTGGGGGGCACGCGGGCGCTGCCGAGGCCAACTGCAGGAAAAAAACGATTGCGCGGACGATGGGGCGTTGGGGATGTTTTTTTTGGGACTGTGGCCGATGAGCGGGACTGGATGGATGGAGCCTGACCGATTATCCCTCTTCATCGTTTTCTCCACCTGCACCTCGTCATCCTCCGCATCCCTTCCTTCTGTTCCTCTTCCTTCCAACTCCTGCTGTCCGTTTGGTCGTGAACTGCGGTCGCTTCGGTGTGTTAGCATTGGGCCCGTCAAACGTGCATACGCAACCCGCCTCCTCCTCCCCCTCCACCTCCTACTCCTCACGCCCTGCCTGTCTTGCCCGCCCTGCCCTGCCCCCATGGCTTCTTCCTCCTCCTGGCCGGCCCTGCCAAACGCTTCGTCGAGGCATTGGCCCACGCGTGCTGGCCGATGCTCTCACGTCGGGCCCCCCAGAGGGCCCGCAACGAACCCGAAGCCACCCGCAGAGCCAGGGCAGAGACCAAAGGCGAAGGGCAGCAATAGCGCGTGTGCTTATTTTCGGCGATCATGGGCATTATAGGGGGGGGAGACAGGGGGGGTATAATGTAACGCCTCCCCCCCCGCCTTGCGCACGGCGGCAGTGCCCGAAGCGCACTGGGGGGGAGGGGCGTTACGTTATAGGGGGGGAGGGGGGGCCGGGGGCTATAATGCCCATTATGCCCCAAGCAATAAGGAAACACGCTCCAAGAAAAGGGGGAACAGGCCTTCAGAGCCCAGTTGGAAAAGGCGATCATAAACCAAGACTCTGGCACATCTGAAAAACGTGCAGCCGTGGGCAGGAATATCCTCCATGTCCTCTTTTTCTCCTGCTGGAAGTTGCAAAAAACATGGCGTGCAGGTTCCCGGCGTCAACAGTTCTGAGGCCTGGCCACGACTGCTTGCCCAGCCAGGACTGGTCTTGGTTGGCACAGGTGGCACTCCACGTCCATCATCCCTCTCGTGCCCTCCTCAGCTCAATGAGC